GGTGATGGTTTTGGGGCTCCAGCAAACCAAACCCCAGGGGCTTGCCCATGGTTTCTAGGCTTGGTTTAGAGTCTGAGCGAGAGGTTCCTGGTTTCACGTTAGAGATTTCAGACATGATTGTATTATTTCTAGTTCTGTCACATGTCTTGACTCTAAACATTTTTGTTTGTTTGTTTGGGCTGCTAAATTTACACAGGGCCCAGTAACAAGGCCCTGAGGATGCCCAGATCCAGGAGGCCCTGAACATTTCCCCCTCGGCCTGGAAGGTGCGAGGCTGCCCCCTGGTGTGGACATGGAGAACTACGCCACCAGGTCCCTGCTCCCTGAGGCCTGGGTTCCTCCTGACCCCAGGCCCAGGGGACCTTATTTGTACCCAAGCAGTACAGGGGCAGGGGGTGGGCTCAGCGTGGATGTGCTATTTCCAGAAGCCCTGTGGTGGTGGGTGTTTTTTTTCCCACTTGAAGATGGAACCTTTGGACTCTTTACCATTGAGCTCTGCATGGACTGGAGTTGAGGGTGACCTAAAAATAAATTAGGACACCTGGCAGGGGGAGGCACCACCAAGGCAGGCCCTTTTCTAATTGTGCGTCTCAACCTTGACCTCCAGGCTGTTTGGACCCTCCGCTTCAGCAGAGAGCACAGGACTGGGAATCAGATCCTGAGTTCAAATTCCGGCCCTGGGGCCTCTTTAGTCCTATGACCTTGGGCATGATTCCAACGCTTCTGAGCCTCAGTTTCCCCATAGGTAGAATGTTATTAACAGTCTGACATGCACTTCAGCATTGTCACGACGCTCTTATAAGGAACTGTTTTAGAAATAATGTAATTAGTGATGCAAGGGGACTAAGCTAAATGCACGAAATCCCCCCAGTGCCGAGGTCGGTGCCTTCTGTGGCGAGGAATATGCTTTTTCTTAACTGGGGGGAAGAGAAAAGCTAGTACTTTTGTAAAATAGGACAAAAATGATTTACTTGAAAAATGAAAGGCACTAAAAAACTCAAGCAAAATACAAGCCTTATTTTGAAAATATTCAATTCAAGGGACATAATTACTCTGCCAATTAGCTACCCAGGGGTCTGAATGCTCGCAGTTTCTGTACCTGACCCGAAAGGGGCCACACCTGCAATAGCCCTGCCTCCGGGAGAGAGGGTGGGTAGTTAATTTTGTGTCCCTAGTTCTTTGTATTTAGAAAGCACCTAGATAGAGCTTTAAATGAATCAGTGAGAGCCTCTCTTGGAATAACGCAGACCTCCCATCGTTACCATCCTGTGATCAAGGAACGGGGCCCTGGGCGAGGCTGTTCTTTCATCCCGCATCCTGGGTGCCCAGGCTGAACCCTGGCTGCCCTTCTGCTCTGGCTCCCGTCCTTTGGCCTCGTGATTCGTGTCTGCGTATCTGTCTTGTCGGCCCCCCTGGGAGCCCCTTCAGGCCTGCGCCGGTGCAGGCTGCTGTTTGAATTTGCAGGGCCCTGGACGAGGCCTCTACCCCGGAGCTGCTCGGTAAATGTGCACAGGAGCCTGCAGAGGGCGCTGCCCCCTGGCTCCCAGAACCGGGTTGCTGCCCTCGCTTTGTTGCCCAGGGATCTGGGTGCTTAAGCTTGCCTGAGAAATAAACTGCTTTTGTTACATAATTCAGAGAGGAGACGGAGGTCGCTCACGTTTGCCTGACTCTCAGGATCATTGGGGTGCTTGTGTTTTTAGTTTCCTGGGCCTTCCCTGGATTTACTGAATCAGAATTTCTAAGGAATGGGCCCGGAAGGGTGATTTTTAACAAACACCATCAGGTAATTCTGTTGGTCAGGAACTTGGGGAAGGAGGGAACTAACACGGAACGTTATCTAGACCCTTGGGAGAGCTGCTTCCTCCTCGGCCCTCAGTTTCCTCATCTATAAAACGCGGCTCTTGTTGGGATTATCGTGAAGGTTACGTGAAATAACGTATAGGAAGTGCTTAGCAGAATACCTGGAATATACACTAGGTATCGTTTATATATTATATGTATTTAAAATGTATTTGATAAAATGGCCGATACTGTGTATGACCCACATATCTTTATTGCTGGCAAATATCTGATTTTCATGAGATTTATAACTTATTACCATATAGGTAATTCAGGCTTATAGAAAAAGAAACCTTACCTATAATACCCAGAGGTACAGTTGCTAACATTTTGGAGCATTTCTTTCTAGTGTATGTGTGTGTACACAGTAAATATATATTATATACCCATTAGAATATAGTTGACATATATGTGTATGAGTGTATATAATACATATTAAATATCTATTGCATCATATATGTATGCATGTGTATAATATATGCGTATAACACACATGTATAGTATAATGTATATTTAATATATATTCTACATATTATTTTGTGTATATATATGTATACACACATATACACACATTCATTTTATATTCAGAAAGCAGGATTATACTGTACCTGTTGTCTTGGGTGCTGCGTTTTCTCACTTGACAGTAGATGTGACATCTTTTATATGTCAATAAATAAGAGTTTGTTAGATGTGGGCTTAAATACTGATTCATCCACTTAGTTGCTTGATGACCTTGGGCAAGTTAGTTAGCCTTTCTGGGCCTCAATTTTCCCATTTGTTAAATGGGGCAATAATTGGTTCTCTCTGGCAGTGTCGCTGTGCGGATTAAGTAGGTAATTCATGAAAAGTGCCTCTCACAGCATTGACTCAGAGAGAGCCGCTGTTAGCCGGCAACCACCAGTCTTGGGGTCCCGGTGTTGGGGGGAGACTGCTGAGTCCCAGGGTCCCCATTTGCTTCTCAGCCTCTGCCCAGTCCAGTTTCATGCTCGGGGCAGTTTTCTGGGTTTTTTTGCAGCTCAGACTAGCTGTGCTCATTTTCTGAAAGGTGATTCTTGGTTCCCTTCGTCTCCAGGGGAAGACCTGGACCCGAGGCTGCCCTCCCCGCCTGTCTTCCCCACTCCATCTGCGTCCTGAACCCATCCCTCTCTCCCCCATTGCTAATGCATCGCGGTAGGGGTGCCCCGTGATTCCTGCTCCTGGCACGGATAGGTCCAGTCTCAACGTGACCTTGGAAATGCCTCACCAGAGTCCAAGCATCCCTTCAACAACTAGTTAGAAAGCAGCGTGCGTTTGAGGGGAGGATTCAGCTTGTCTTCTGCGCAGACGTTAGCTGTGATGCCTCAGCAGGCCCGTGCGGAAAGGTGATGCACACCCATTTTACAGATGAGAAAATAGAGGCGCGGGGAGCTGCTGTGACTTGCCCGAAGCCTCAGAACTGGAATTCAGATCCTTGCTCCTCCCACAATGCCCGGAAGGTGTCCCAAGATGAGCGAGACCCTCTCTGCCCTTGAGGGGCCGATGCCCACCGTTTGGATTCCCGGTTCAGTGGGGAGGACCCGTGAACAACTCCGAAGTACAGCAGACCGGTAAAGAGAGGGGGCTCTGGGGTCCCGCCCTGGCTCCCTGACTTGAAGGGTCCTGTGGATCTGGGCAGCCTCCCAGCCGGCATCGTTGCGTGGACTAAAAAATGAACAAACACACCGAGGGCCGGTCCCACCGCGCCAGGCGCGCCGCACGCATCTGCTAAACGGTGGCTGCTCTTCGAAAAAGTGCTCTATCCGTAGCTGACAGAGATGCCCCCAGCAGGCATCACAGAGCTGCTCGCATCGTGGGCTTTTGACCCTGGCATCAAAGGGATCCCTCAAGCAGAAGATCGAAAAGAAAGGCCGCTCGGGGAGCTGACGGGAAAGGTCCTCGGGGCGCCCTCCCGGGTGGAGAGTCAGCTGCAGGAACACGCACAGGGCGAGGTACCATTTATGTGGGAAAACCCAGCCCCAGGCATAAAACCACCCTGCAGTTTCTGCGTGGAGGTGCCCAGCGCGTGGGAAATGGTCCGGAAGGACGGACTGACCCGCAGGCTCCTCCACCGCCCCGGGGAGAGGGCGCGGGGCGTGGGACTGGCCAGGGGGGGCTTTGCGCGTATCTGAGATGCTCCAGCTTCTTCACGAGGAAAATACATACATGTGCTTATTAGCCGATTAAAGTAAATTGAAATAACGTCATCCCGTGTGCACTTCGGGGGCTTTGGGGGTGTCTCTGCGCTGCTTTTCTTGTGCCCCTTCCTGCAGCTGGCCTTGCTACTTTTGGCATAACTCGCGGGAGAGCCGAGGGCGCTTTCCTCTCTCTGGCCCCGCATCGCCAGGGGGACTCAGCCCGCCCGGCTTCTGAAGTGTTTGTTGGTTTGTGCCTACGGCCTGCGACCTAAGGTTCAGATGGTACAGGGGGTTAAATGCCCCCCCCCGTCCCCCCTCTTCCCTTCCCCAGCGTGCTGGGGATCCTTCTGGAAAGCGGCTGCGTTTACGGAGAGGGAGAGCTGTTGACGTCCCCCACGTGGACGGGAGAGTGTTTAAGTTTGTTCATCAGCGTGTCTCGGAGGCGGGCCTGTCCTGGTGCGGAGCCCACGTCCCTGGCATGGGCCGGGCGTGTGCGTGGACCCTCGTGTATGCGGGTCCGGGCGTGTGCGTGGACCCTCGTGTATGCGGGTCCGGGCGTGTGCGTGGACCCTCGTGTATGCGGGTCCGGGCGTGTGCGTGGACCCTCGTGTATGCGGGTCCGGGCGTGTGCGTGGACCCTTGTGTATGTGGGTCCAGGCGTGTGCGTGGACACTCGTGTATGCGCCTCCCGCTAATGGCCCCTCAGGGTGTTCGCAGCCTCTCCCGTTGCAAACAACTGTAAGAAACGTCCCGCGACGCGGTCCTTGTGCGCGGGACGCGGCGTCTGCAGGGTGAGGCCTAGAAGCGGGCTCGCTGGCCCAGGGACTCGAGCGGCAGAAATGTAGCGTTTGCAGCCCAGAGGCCCCCGCTGAAGCGGCACCGACGCGCGCGCCCCTCCCGTGGAGGATGGAGTTGGACGGGGCTCGGGCGGGGAGGGGACAGTGGGGAGATTCTCGCCTGTCTCCCTCGTGGCAGTGCCTCTGACGCGTGTCCTCTGTGTCTCTGCAGAGCAAGCTGGTGAAGTACTTCAGCCGGCAGCTGTCCTGCAAAAAGAAGGTGGCCCTGCAGGAGCGCAACGCCGAGCTGGACGGCTTCCCCCAGCTCCGCCACTGGTTCCGAATCGTCGACGTGCGCAAGGAAGTCCTGGAGGTGACCGGAGGCGGCCCCTGCCCTCTGCCCCTTCCCGGCCAGCAGCCAGTCTCTCAGGCAGTGGGGTTTGGGCTGTGCCTGGCACATAGTAGGCCCTCAATAAGTATGTATTGCATGAAGGCATCAGAGATCCTCTCTGGATGGGTCATTAGGAGCCACCCAGTTCAGCCCTGCCACTCATTAACTCGGTCCCTTTGACCAAATCACTTTGCCTCTGAGACCAGCTCCGTCCAGCAGAGTTTTCTGCTGTGATGGAAATATATATTTTTTATTTTAATTTTTAAAATGTGTGGGTTTTAAAAATTGGTTTTAGAGAGGAAAGGAGAGGGAGAGAGAGAGAGAAACATTGATGTGAGAGGGAAACATCGATCAGCTGCCTCCTGCACGCCCCCTACTGGGGATCAAGCTCGCAACCTGGGCATGTGCCCCGACCGGAATCGAACTGGTGACCGCTCGGTGCACAGACAATGCTTAACAAACAGCCACATCAGCCAGGGCTGTGATGGAAATATTCAATATCTGTGCTGTCCGATGCTGTAGCACCAGCCACATGTAGCTCTTGAGCACTTGAATTGTGGTTAGTGCGTGTGACCGAGGAACTGAATTTTTAATCGTATTTAATGTTAATTCACGTGCCCAGGGACCACCATATTGGACGCTGCAGTCTTAGGGCGTTAGTTTTCTCATCTGTTAAATGGGACGATGACTGTTCCCTCCTCGGAAGTAGCTGGCGTGTAAAATGCGATGGTCCGTATACAATGTTCAGCTCGTACCCTGGCACCTACTAGCACTCAGTCAGTGTCAGCTCAGTAGTATTATTGCTGCTGTTGAAAACTTTGGAAGTAGCAGGTTCTCTGCTGGCAAAACAGAATCAGCACACGTGCCGTCTTGTGTCCGTTCTCTAGGAATGAGCACATCCCTGAGGTCTCTAGGATGGTGGGATTTCCTTACCTTCTCAGATCCCAGGGCCTCGCTGTTTCCAGCAACTGGGCCTCACCCTTCCTGATAAAACCAGCTCACGTCGAATCTTTGGTGCCAGGCATTGTGCAGAGGGCTTCCCATGCAGGATCTCAAGTGCTGACATTGTTCAGGTCCTCACCACAGCCTTTTGACGTAGGTCTGACTACCATCCCCATTGTGCAGAGCAGTAAACTGAGGCTCAGAGATGAAGGGTCTTGTTTCACTAGTGAGTGGGTGGGGCTGGTAGGAGATAAAAAGCACCATCTTCTCCCCATTTCCCTGTTGCCAGGGCTGCCCTGATCTGGGGAAAAGAGGGGGTGCTCCCTACCTGCAGGGCCATATATCAGTTCTCAGGGGGCTCCTTGCTTCCTCCTTGAAGCGGCCTGGAAGATTCTTTTTCACCTTCTGTCTGTTTCAGACCTTGTCTGGATGTGATCTCGCCTGAACCCACCAGGTCTAACAATCCTGAGCTAGACGCACACCCCCACATTCCTCCACCCGTCACCCCCGACTCCCACATGCACACCAGACAGGGTGTGAGTCTCTGTTCCTTTATTTCATTCCCAGGATGGCAGTTTTGTGTGAATATCCTTAACAGGAAAGGCCCCAGATAAATACAGTTAGTACATTTTACCTGCATGGCCCTGTATGCTTTTCCGAAGCTTTTGGGACCATTTATTTATCCAACGAGACGAACAAGGCAGAGGCAACTCTTCCAGACCAAGGGCTGAAAAACTGGTGGCCTCAAGCTGTATCTGATGCACACACATTTTTTCTGCTTGGCTGCTAACGGTGTTCAAATTTTTTTTTGAGCCAATATTTAGAAGTTGAAAGAGTTTGCATAAAACCCCAGATCTCCGGCTTCTCTTGAAAAATTGGCCTTGCTTACCACGCTGAATTCCTGGCGGGCGGCAATGAGCTGCCTCCTGCTCTCTGTCCCACAGGCTCCCAAGTTTCGCAGCTTTGCTCATTTATATTTGCCTTGCCTGCCGGTACCCAAGCCGCCAGCCCGGGGGCGAGGTGGGGTGCCCGCTCTCTGTCTGCAGCTCTCATGCGTGCCCACCAGAGGTCCCCTTCTCTGGAGGAACTAGAAGTAGGGAGAAAGCTCCGAGGATAGACTGCTTCGGTTTGAACTTACTTGCTGTGTGACCTTGGGCCAGTGTTCTAACCTCTGTGAATTTTAGTGTCCTAGTTACAGACTAATGATGATGATGAAAGTACCTACTTTATGTGGTCTTTCTTTTTAAAAGAAAATTCAAGAAAAGTGCTTAAAACGGTGCTACATCCATTTCTATTATGATTATTATTAATTATTTTATCCAGCAGCAGTGCATCTGCTCTTTTGGCCCAGGTTGGTTAAGGCTTTCTCCATTTTTGGTGTCATTTCTTTTGTGATTTTTTTTTTTTTGGGGGGTATGTGTGACCACAAATGTCAGCTTAAATTGAATATTTGGGGGGGTGTGTGTGTGTTTGTAAATTATAAGATTAAAATGCACAAATGTATCCTGCAGCAAAGAGCAGAATTCTTTTATGTGGGGAACCATCCCTTCTAAATAGGAGTCATCTTGTACTTTCAGATCCTGGCCCATCACCTTTCTCAAAGGGGGCTTACCCTTGAGAGGAGACAGCCTCAAAGCCACTCAGTTGTTCACGTTGTCCCCTGCCCTAGTCAGTTGGAAGGGCACCAATTGGGCTTCGTGGCCTTTGCCCTGCATCTTTTTTTTTTGGATAGAATTTTTGTGCCATGCAGTGTCCCTCTGCCTGGTTGCTAATTTAGAGAGAGAGAGAGAGAGAGAGAGAGAGTGTGTGTGTGTGTGTGTGTGTGTGTGTGTGTGGAGGGGGAAATGTCTGATTTTGTTGTAACACACAGATTTGGCCACCAGAGGGCACAAGTATTACATGTATTGCCCTAGAATCGAAGGGTCTCCATCCTTAGTTATCGGAAACTCTTATTTTAATAATAATAATAATAATAATAATGAATGTAAAACATTGGATACCATTAAATGCTATAAAATGAGGGACCTTTTTTGTAGATGCATAAATATAGAAGTTTGACCAATTTCAAGCTGTGTCTATGGTGTCCAGGGACACATCATTTTGGGAAAGGAGGGATGGTTACTGGCGGCGGTGAAGGGCCACCTGCCCAAAACATTTAGTAGAGAGTGGAGGACAGCCGTCAAGAGATCTGGGCTGTCTGATCTGAGTTCATCCTGAATTTGGGACAAGTCACTACCGTAGGAGCTGAGCAGGAGGCATGAAGGGCCCTCCAAAGATTAATAAATTGGAGCCTTGCTCATGAGGAGTTTAGAATCTGCGTGGGGAGGCAGACAGGTAATTAACTACCACCATTTACGGAGTGCCTGTGCTAAGCATACCTGCTTCCCTACACGGTATGTGCGCTTAAGAGTCCCATTTTACAGGTGAGTAAAGTGAGGCCCAGACAGGCTGAATGATTTGCTCGAGGTCATCCAGCTAATGAGTGGCGCAGCTGAGGTGAAACCCAAGCCTGTCTAACCTCCGGGACCCAACTGTGATGCCAAGTAGCCATCCGCTGGGCGCGCAGGCACCACTGGAGGGCAGCGGGGAGGCTCAGCCGTCGGGCCTCCGCTCTAGACGCCTGATGTCTGTTTACCACCGTCCCCCCCAGGAAATCACCCCGGGCCAGCTGAGCCTGGAGGACCTCCTGGAGATGACGGATGAGCAGGTGTGCGAGACCGTGGAGAAATACGGAGCCAACCAGGAGGAATGTGCCCGTCTCAACGCCTCCCTGTCCTGCCTCCGGAACGTGCACATGTCAGGTGAGCAGGCGCGGGGGATGGACACCTGCCGCGGGCCAGGACGAGACAGGGTCACCTCTGCTGGTAGACAGAGCGCTCGAGTGGAGGACAGAGGGGCCTGGACTCGGAGGCCAGAAGGGGTCGGGGCAGCTTCTGGGAACTCGGCCCCAAGGGAGACCTTCTGAGGGGGTAGGACGTTGAGTTCTGCATAATTAGGGTCCAGATTTTGGAAATACTGGCTGTGCGCAGAGGACCAGAATCATTTTACCTTAGAATTCGGCAGTGCCTTTGTATTTTGGATCAACATCTTGTGTGTTTTTTTTCACGTAAATAATATACATTCCTTATTAAATAAATCAGAAAACAGATAAACAACCATAACTTCCCCAAGTTCTATCCTCTGGGGACCTACTGTTGCCATTTTGGTATAATTTTTGGTATAATTCTTACAGACCAATAGGTATGTGCATACTGCCTTTAAACAATAGAATTAGGATTATTCATACGTATTATTTTGATATCTTTTTTTTTTAAACCTAGCAAAATAAACTCTGTGACTTGTTTTATCAGTCTGGGGGTCCAAATATATCGTCATATTTCTATGATCTTTCCCGTGAATTGTTCAAACTCCCGTCTGCCTTTCTTAGCAGGACATCAAATACCATCCTCGTAGGCCTCCTGCTCCTGTCTGGCTTTATGATTTTCCCTCAGGTTCCCAGCACCTTTTCAGTGTTAAGGGCTTAGCTCTGCAAATACCAGCCAAAGAAAAGTGTTGTTGGTCGACCCATGTGGTGGTTTCTGCCCTCGCCACAAGGTGTCGCTGTTGTACATGAGTCTGGCGCAGCCGGGCAGGGTCGTATCCACAGATGTCCTCCCTGGATTCAACAGGCTCCATTCAACAAGTATTTATTGAGTGACTACTTTGTGCCAGGTTGCCTGAGGATCCATCAGTGAGCAAACAGAGCATACTTGAAACAGGTCATTGGCCCAGATCCCCCACGCGTGCTCCTTTATATTCTTTGTTGCTGGCAGATCCTGATCAGAGCTAAAATGGGCATCAAAAGAGACCATGCATCGGAGGCTGTCCTATCATGGAAGGATGTTGGGTAGCATCCCTGGTTGCTACCCACTAGATATCAGTAACACCCCCCTCCCATTCATGACAAACAGAAAAGTCTCTGAATATTTTCAAGTGTTCTGGGGGGTATGCGGTGGAATCACCCCTAATTGAGCAGCTATAAAGGTCATGTCATTCCTTACTCTAGGACAACACTATTGATCCACCTAACATTTGCGTGGCTAAGAGGGCCTGTCAGTCATGCAACACAGACAAAGCCTGCTTCAAGGTGACTTCTCGCTACCTAGAGTGAGAAGCGGCTGGCACTTAGTGCTCCTTTAAGAAATGGTGCCTGACACAGATGGTAGGGTGTCAGTGAGTATTTATTGCGTGGATGGGTGGAGTAGCTACATGCTAACTCTTATTGTTACCATTACTGTCATCATCACATTAGCATCATACCCACCCTCATCCTGCAGTCACTGTTGCCACCACCATCTTCACCACCATCTTCACCACCATCTTCACCACCATCTTCANTGTTGCCACCACCATCTTCACCACCACCATCTTCACCACCATCTTCACCACCACCATCACCACCGTCACCACCGTCACCACCATCACCATCTTCACCACCATCTTCACCACCGTCACCACCACCACCATCTTCANGTCACCACCGTCACCACCACCACCATCTTCACCACCATCTTCACCACCGTCACCACCACCACCATCTTCACCATCACCATCACTATCACCATCACCACCATCACTATCACTGTCACCACTACCACCGCCACCACCATCAACACCACCACCACCGTCACCATCACCACCACCATCACCACCACCGTCACCACCATCATAAGCATCACCACCACCACCACCACCACCATCACCATCACCACCGTCAGCAGGGTTCTCTAGCCTTTCTCTGCACCATCTCACTTTCCTCTACCTTCTTTCTATTCTCTTTTTTTGTCTCCAATGGGCCCCTGGGTTTCAGATTTTCTAATTCTGCTCTCTCTCAGTCTTTGATTTCCCTTCCCTCTGAGCCACTGCCCCTCTGAATGTTGCTGCTTCTTTAGAGCCCATTTCCCCCTGTCTGGCCTGATTGTTCCCTGGGGTTAGCCCACCTTTTCCTGGCCCAAAAATAAAAGCAGAACCCCANTCACCACCACCACCACCGTCACCATCACCGCCGTCAGCAGGGTTCTCTGGCCTTTCTCTGCACCATCTCACTTTCCTCTACCTTCTTTCTATTCTCTTTTTTTGTCTCCAATGGGCCCCTGGGTTTCAGATTTTCTAATTCTGCTCTCTCTCAGTCTTTGATTTCCCTTCCCTCTGAGCCACTGCCCCTCTGAATGTTGCTGCTTCTTTAGAGCCCATTTCCCCCTGTCTGGCCTGATTGTTCCCTGGGGTTAGCCCACCTTTTCCTGGCCCAAAAATAAAAGCAGAACCCCAGGCAGTCTTTCCAGTGCGCACAGCCCCGTTTCTGCATCCCCCCGCCCCTGCCCTGGTCGCTACAGAGCTGAGGTCCTAGGGCGGAGCTGACTGGCTGCAGAGTAGGCGGGTGACTCGGAGGGAGATGCTGGTGCACCTAAGAAGAGGTTTCACGGGCCATGCGGGGGGTGGGGGGTGGGGGGAGAGCAGACCAGGTTGCCACTGACAGGTGCCACGACCAGGAGCTTGCTTTGTGGGGCCCCCTCCAGCTCTTCCTGCTGAGGGTCCAGGGAAAAACTGACAGCCAGGAGCAAACCGGATGTAAAGTGGCCCTGAAATAAGACAGATGGCCTCAGATGCTCCCCTGCACCCTCCAAGTTTGGGTGTTGAAGGAAGCCCACCGGAACCCCCCTTCCTGTGCATGGAACAGAGATTAAGAGCCGGCTTGATTGCCCTATTGTTCCAGTTGCTTCTAACTCTGGGAGGGCTGGGCCGCTGGGCGGCTGGGGAAGAGCCACCTGTCCCGACGCCTGCAGCGTCTGGCGAGTTTCAGCATCATTGTCCTTTGTCTCCCTTCATTGTTTGCCCCCTGCCTTCCTGTTCTGTGTGTTTTCAGGAATCCCTTATGCAGATGTAGGGCGGCATTAGCCTCCTCCAGTGCAAGGGACAGAAGCCTAATGCAGCCACGTCGCCCACAGATGGCCCATTCATTCACTATAGATATTGACCCAACTTCCCGTTTCGGTCACCGGGGGGGACTGGGGACGTGGTGGCGGTTAAGGCTAACCAGCTTCCCATGCTCAGGGTCCTTGTGTTCTAGACCCGAGCTGTCCAACGGGGTGGCCTCTGGACTCACGCTCCTTCAGGGGGCCTGTGGCTCTTCTCTTTGGGTGAACACGTTCCATTGCCACCCCCCCGGGACCTCCCTACTGACCTCTCTCCTCTCTTGGGAACGGCCTCCCTTCCCCCAGGCACACGGACACCTGGGGATGCTCCCCAGCCCCACGCCAGCCCTGTCGCCAGCCCTGTCCTTGGGGACGGCGTGCACTTTCGCTCCATCATCTGATCATTTCCTTTCTTTAGCACTTCTGTCTTTCCCTTCTCCGCCTGGGACTCTCTGGAGGAGAAATGAGGCAGACAGGCTTTGTAATTGGAGACCAGGACACCCCGGGTGACAGGCTGGCATTGTTCTTCAAGCTCTACCTTCTCAAGGCCTTCTGCCTTCATGGTCACAGAGGGTGGAGGACCTGAGTGGCAGGGCTGTGCTTTTGCTTTAAACCCTAGTCTCCTTGCTTGATAAAGTTAGGGTCGCATAGCTGGGTGGCTGCAAACACTTCGATGCCTTTTGCTCCGGGTATGGATTGCTTTGGACACCATCCGACTGGGGCCTCTCCTCTCGATGGCCACCAGGAGGCGCTGCCTGACCATCTTCCTTCAGCTGAGAAGCCAAAGGATTTGCTCAAGTGCCACGAAAAAAAAAACAAACAAAAAAAACTCCATGGGTGTGCAAAAAGAGCCCCATGGGTGTGCAAACTGTAAGGAACCTCAGTCTACTCATCTCAATTTTCAAATAAGGGAAAACTGAGTCCCAGGAGCAGAAAGGCTTGACCCAGCCATGACAGGGAGCAGGTGTGGGCTTAGTTCTGTGCTGTGGGCAGAGCATCCTGGGCAAAGTGAAAACCCGGGGTGTTGGGTAGGGGACGGGGGCGCCTTTAGTCTCCTTTCCTGACTGGCTTTGAGCGAGCTGCCCAGCATGGAGCACGCTCCTGGTTCCTGCCCGCCTCCAGTCTGCACGGACTGGGTCTTGCTGCCCCGAGCCTCCCTGCAGCTCTCATGTCACCGATGCACTCGCGTTGGTCTTGCTGCCACACCGAAGACCAATTAAGAGAAGAAAATGAGCTGCAAAGAAGGAACCTTGCAAAGCAGCCTCCAGATAATAGCTGCTGGTGTCACAAAGAGCTCCAAAGGGGTGAAGGCTTCCTTCCCTTGGGAGACATCTGGGAAGAGCTTGGGGCCAGATTTGGGGTGACTCTTGTTGTGCAGGACCCCTCCTAATGCCTGTTAACACAAAGGCTGTGAAGAAGAGCAGCAGGATTTGTTTCAACTGAAATCAACGTCTTAGCCTTTGCCGTGTGCCCAGCACCGGGGCACGTAGATAAAAGAGATGCTGGCCTGGCCGTTAGTGTGAGTTCTGAGCCCGGCACGTGAGTCCCTGCTGGACCCCGGGGCTGGGATGAACTTGGTCCAGTCCCTTCCCCGTCCGTGTCCCAGTCTTTGAAACAGGCACAAACATACGTAACCCTTTAGGAATGAATGAGGTGAGGCCTGCTTTCGCCTCTGTCTGGGGCTGCCTCTCCCATTTGAGCCGGACCTGACCCGGGCCCTTCAGGCTGGAGGGGTGGAAATGAGACGACCCACGTGAACAGCCGAGTCAGAGGTCTCCCCTGCTCCCGGCCCTGCCTCCAGCCTGCCTCCGGAAGGCAGGGCCCTCGGGAGCGGGATGGGCGGCCGAGGA